TGAAAGACATAGTTGATGATTTTGTTTTAGGTTCAATTTTTCAATCTAATGGTATTAATTGATTCAATTTATTTGAAAAATTATTCAACAGTAAAGTTATTTGTTTGTTTTTTTTTTTTTTTTTTTTGTAGTATACTTAGTAATATTCCACTGGTGAATTATTAATGAATGATCATAGCAATATTTTGATCATACGATACATCAAACGTTTGTTTATATTCTTACAACATCAAAACAATGTAATTTGTTGCCCCGTGCATCGCACGGGGACAATTACTAGTTGAGTTAATTAAAGTGTTTCAGGACTATCTAGCTCGTAAGCACGTGACCTACTTTGCTCTCCCAGCTTTAATACCCCAGGTGATTTATTTTTAACATTATCATTTTGACGCCGTCTGTGGGAATGCAAACCAGATCACGTAGCCAGCAAGATCCTCCTGAGTCATCCACTCGGAGAGAGAATGACACATCTAACAACCTCCCAATTCGAGGAGGCTCTGGCTTGCCACCTCCTCCACGTGCTCCGGATCCGCCTCGCGAGGTTCAGGTGATTCCCCCTCGGGACCCACAACTCGCCGATCCTCCACTACAGGCTCCACCTCTGCCTGCTTCCCGAACGGTTCAAATAACCGAGGAACCACTTCAACGAATGATAACAGAAGCTTCTACTCGCGCTCCCACTGATGCGCTAGCACAATACATCGCCACAATGGGAGCAAATGCTCCCCCCGCGATCCTAGCTAATACTCCACCCGCAGTGCCACCCAGGGTACAACAACCGGCCCAGAACAACGACAATCGGATAAGTGTGTCCTCACCCACCTCGGATCCAGGGTCCCGGATGCAGCTATCTACCAATCACGGGGAGCCACAACCCAGATAGCAACGCCACCATTCATCCCAATGAGGTAATGCATCTCCACGAAGAGCTCATTTCCTTAATGAAGTAGAAGACGAGATAAATAATAGAGTATCTCGCCAAAAATATTTCCCCCAAGTGAACAACCCAATTGACGGAAGAGCGCCAGTCCCAGCAAGGCGCAGTCCTTTCACCATGAACATCCTCAACGAGGAATTGCCTCAAGGAGTGAAAGTATCAGGCTTACCTTAGTTCGAAGGAACCACCGACTCGCAGGAACACATAGAGAAGTTCCACACTATGGCAGATTTATATGGCTCAACAGATGCAGCAATGTGCAAGATGTTCCGCACCACTCTCTCCAAGAGAGCCATGAATAGGTTCATTGCTCTACCCACAGGATCAATCGACATTTTTGCTCGATTATCACAACGTTTCACCAACCAATTCTCCATCAATAAGCAATATGCTAAAACTCCGGCACATGTCTTCTCTATCGTACAAAGAGACAATGAAACACTCCGCAACTACATCAGGCGTTTTGTGGAAGCTGTTCATGAAGTCCCAGTGTAGGACAAGATATGCTCTCAGGGATCATGCAACAAAACCTGAAGTCGGGTAGGTTCAAAGAATCTATCGCCGGAAGGCCTCTTGGCAACTTAGATGAGTTGTTAAATCGAGCTGAAAAATACATACGCATAGAGGAAGCCTCTGCCAATGCTCCTCCTAAGAGAAAGATAGAAGATGACCGCCCGGATATTAGGAGACAAGATGATCGACGTCCTCCACCCCCACCTCAAGGCCAATCATCTTCATCTTATAATCGATTCACTCCACTCAACACTCGCCTCACTGAAATCCTTCATGTGATAGAACAAAAAGGTCTGGCAGTCCAATGGGAAACGAGAAAGATCGGATCGCTATTGTCAATTCCACAAAGATAAAGGACATACTACCGAGGAATGTGCACAACTCAAATTGGCGATTGAGAGGTTGATCAAGCAAGGCCACTTAGGCGAATACATTGATAAGCCTCGAAATAAGCACCGTGATGATCTTCCACGCCGAGATAACAATCGAGATCAACATCAACGACGGGAGGAGGGGGGTCATCGGCGCGACCCAGATAACAATGATAACCAACCCACCCGGGGAGTCATTGCCTTTATCTCTGGAGGAGCAGGTGGGGACTCACAAAATGCGAGACGGACCCTCGCTCGATCAGCACGTATGAATCAAGAGCATGTTTCTCCATCCACATCTGTCTATCAGATACGAAGACCTGATCATAGCATAGTCTTCAACTCCTCGGACCTCGAAGGTCCAGATGAAGATCATGTCGATGCGTTGGTAATCACAACGTCGGTGGCCAACTTATTGGTTAAGAAGATATTAGTGGACGGTGGGAGCTCAGGCGACATCATGTATCTCCACACATTCAAGCAGCTGGGCATAGATAACGCTCGGTTTAGCCCTATCACTACACCACTACAAGGATTTACGGGAGATGGCATTTTATCCATGGGGGAAGTGGAGTTACCCATCTCCTTATGGGACAATCCTTGTCGAATTACGAAGATGATAAAATTCCTCATCGTCGACAAACCATCCCCTTATAACATCATCCTAGGGAGGCTAGCGATCCATACATTGAAGTCCGTGCCTTCATTTTACCACCAAAAGTGGAAATTCCCCACTCCTTATGGAATGGGAGAGGTACTTGGAGATAGGCGTCTCGCTCGAGAATGTTATTCAAGAGCTCTACGTGAGCCATCTAGGAAACCTAATCCTTTCGGGAGAGGAGACGACACCCCGAGGCACGATAAGCGAAAATGGGTCAACGCAGTCATCGAAGTTTATAAATAAATCTTAATCATCGTACCTGATGACGCCACCAAGCTAACAGCTGTTGAAGAGCTAAAATCAGTAGAACTCATACCCGGAGATAATTCTAAGCTTCTCCGCATCGGATCTGATCTAGATCAAGAAGTGGAGAATCAGCTAGTTAACTTCCTTAGACACAATGGAGATGTGTTTGCTTGGAAGGCTCAAGATTTGACGGGAATTCCTCCCAAAGTAGCGTTGCATCGACTAAACGTTGACAAAAGATTGAAACCAGTCAAGCAACGTAAAAGTATTTTTGGTCTTGAGCGAAACAAACATATGAAAGAGGAAGTTGCAAAACTCTTAGATGCATGCCACATTAGATCGGTTCAATATCTGGAGTGGTTATCCAATGTGGTATTAGTACCTAAACTCGGAGGCAAGTGGAGGCTATGTGTAGACTTCACCGACCTCATCAAGGCATGGCCCAAGGATCCATTTCCTTTACCAAGGATCGACCAACTCATAGACTCAACCCTAGGGTGCGAACTTCTCAGCTTCCTTGATGCATATCAAGGATACAACCAAATATTGTTCGCCCGAGAAGACCAAGAGAGAGCTAGCTTCATTACAGACCAAGGTATCTACTGCTATCAAGTCATGCTGTTCGGTCTCAAGAATGCATGAGCTACTTACCAACGCCTAGTGAGCATGATGTTCGCAGACTTGATTGGTAATAACATGGAAGTATACATTGATGACATGCTCGTCAAGAGTATTAAAGTCGTGGATCACCTAACCGATTTAAGTCAATGCTTCTCCATCTTACGTAAATACAAAATGAAGCTCAATCCCCTAAAATGCTCTTTTGGAGTTCGAGGCGGAAAATTCTTAGGGTACATGATATGACAACGAGGAATTGAAGCCAACCCGGCAAAGATTAAATCTATCACCTCCATGGCCCCTCCCACATTGATCAAGAAGGTCCAACAACTTAACGGTTGTTTGGCAGCCCTAAACCGATTTATATCCCGATCTGATAAAGGCCTTACATTCTTCAAGGTATTAAGAGGTGGGAAAAAGTTTGAATGGAATGTGGATTGCCAAAGACTTTTCATAGAATTGAAAGCATATCTTACTTCCCCACCTCTACTAACGAAGCCCCAGCCAGGAGATACCCTCTTCCTATATTTGGCTCTTTCTGCTGATGCCATTAGCGCAGTGCTCATTCGGGACGGTGAAAAAGGTCACCAACCGATATATTACATAAGCCGAGCTCTTCAAGGCTCAGAGCACTTCTATACCAACATGAAGAAACTTGCTCTCGCCCTCATCAATGCAACCAGAAAGTTACGTCCGTACTTCCAATCGCATCAGGTGATAGTTCTCACCAACTATCACCTTAAACAAATATTGAGAAGTTCCGAGGCTTCCTGACGATTAGCTAAATGGGCTATAGAGCAAAGCGAATATGGGGTCGAATTCAAACCACACCCAGCCATCAAAGCTCAAATTCTGGCAGACTTTGTAGTAGAGATGACTACATTGGAGGAGAGCACATACCCACTTGGACCGTCAATGTCGATGGATCCTCTACCGCTACAGGAGGAGGCGCGAGTATTGTATTAAGAAGCCCAGATGGTGATGAATTCGAGTATGCTCAACGATTTGATTTCAAAGCCTCTAATAACGAAGCCAAATATGAAGCTTTGATCGCTGGTATCCGCCTTGCTTTAGGAGCTGGAGCTCGCAATCTTGTAGTACATAGCGACTCCCAGTTAGTGGTCAACCAAGTCCTTGGGACCTACGAGGCCAAAGAAGAATCCATGGCAAAGTATCTTGCTCTTGCACTTACCCTCCTCACAAAATTAGACAGTTATGAGATAAAACAAGTACCACGAGCCAATAATATTGATGCCGACAAGTTGGCAAGACTTGGTAGTTCCATGGAAAGCATTGGAAGACGTAAAATCACCCTCCTCACGACTTCCCAACCAGAAATAGTCTCCACTGACGGAGTGAATTGCGCCGAAGAGAACGAACCCTGTTGCATCACCCCAATTACAAACTATCTCACAAGCGGGGAACTTCAGACTGACATAGTCCAAACGAAGAAAATAAAGATAAGAGCGGCTCGTTTCCTAATGGCAGGTGAAGATCTCTACAAGTGAGGCTTCTCCTTCCCCTATCTTAAATACCTTAACCCATCAGGAGCAGACTATGTGCTACGGGAAGTACATGAAGACATCTGTAGTAATCATTTAAGTGAAGAAACTTAGCTCTCAAAATATTGAGACAAGGTTACTATTGGCCCACCATGCAAGAAGATGCGAAGAGACTAGTGCAGAGATGCAAGCCTTGCCAGGAACACGCCAACATCCTTCATCTCCCAGCAACACTGAAGCAACCGATTGACAGTCCCATACCTTTCGCTCAATGGGGAGTTGACTTGGTCGGTCCTTTTCAACCAGCAATAGGAGGTCGCAAGTTCCTCATTGTAGCTGTAGATTACTTAATCAAGTGGGTGGAAGCAGAACATTTAGCTCGCATTTGAGAGCAAGACATCATCCAATTCCTCTGGAAGAACATCGTGTGCCGCTTCGGGATCCCACGTTCCATTATTTCAGACAATGGAACCCAATTTTGTGGAGACAAAGTAAAGAATTGGTGCCTTGGCTTATCTATTAAGCAATTCTTTACTTCAGTTGGATCAAACTAAAGTAACTAATCGCACGATACTTCAACTTCTCAAGACAAGGATTGGAAGTGCCAAGGGAAAATGGGTTGAAGAATTACCCAATGCTCTGTGGGCATATCGAACAACCCCACGAACAGCAACAAGGGAATCTCCATTCAACCTAGCTATCGGAACAGAGGCTGTGGCACCCGTCGAGATTGGCGAACCCTCTTGGAGAGTCATCAACTATTCTCCAGAGGCAAATGAAGAAGCAATGAGAGTTAACCTCGATCTCGTCGACGAACTAAGAGAGATCGCCTCTATCCGACAACAAATGTACAAAAGTCGCATGGCGAAAGCTTATAACTCCAAAGTACGCCTTCGCTCTTTCCACATAGGAGATTTAGTTCTCCGCAAAGCCGAAGCTTCACGCCCAATCAGTAAACTCGACCCGAAGTGGGAAGGACATATAAAATCACACAAGTGGTTAACAGTGTAGCATACCGTCTCGAGAACCTTGACGGACACCCTAAACCCAAAACCTGGAATATATAGGGAATCTCAAAAGGTTCTACGTTTGAGGTATACATCCACCTTACTTCAAATTTGTTTAAGTTAGCATCTAGATCTTCTTCATACAAAAGTCGCTTAAAAACAACTACCCTTGCAGGCTTCGCAACCTTCCACGTCCATCGTCTTGCAAAATTGTCTCTAAACACTCGACAAGTTCCCGCTCCATAACGAGGTGCGTAAACATCCCACCCAAACTGAGGGGCTATTAATATTACCTATATCAGCATTCCATAACCACATCTCATCATCTTGTTACCGATTGAGAACCAATTACGAGAGGATGCCTACCGCCCATCACTTGCCCAAAGAGAGAATATACTCCGGACTATCTCACAAACGGTAACACCACTTCTACTAAGTCATATCACATGCACATTCTTGGATATCTATACTAACATAGTAACGCCATCCCCTTTGACAGACATGATCACGCAACAAATCACCGCAACTCACGAGTTGATCTCGTATCTCGGAATGCGAAAAAGAGAAACAGTCCCCATATTGGGTACGTGACCCCATAACACGCATCACCCCAACTTATGAAACTATTAAGTCTTCAATACAAGTACTTGAAATTTTTTCTACTATAATTTTCAGGCATAGAGACACCAAAGACAGTAGACATACCACCCATACACCAAGCACGGACGAGTACAAGGAAGACGTGGAAGAAGAATAAAGTCTTATAGTCAGATAGACTAGTTTTCAATATTTCGACTTATTTGTTTTTTACAAGTTATTTCCCTTCGCCTCACGGAGGCTTATGACAATTCGCATTTTCTAGTAATGATTAAATCAAGTTGCTCATATACTACTTAACCATTACAACGGGTTCATATCACTACAACCCTACAAACACTTAGAGAAATTAAGCTAATCTATATAGCCTGACCAGCTGGATTATCTGAGTCTTTCTATGTTGATTTACGGGGTCCTCCTGTTTAAAACGTGGCCATTGTCCAAATAATATATACGACCCACGAGATCCAAAATAAAGGGCATGATCCCTAATAAAAGAAAAAATCTTGAGAGACTGATCCCTCATCAAGTACATCACACACAATGCTAAATGTAAAACATTAGTGCAAAATCAATAAATAAGAAGGGAAAATAACTTTGATAGCAAAATCAACGTATCAATGTGCAAACGAATATAAAGTCATGAAGCATGCGAAAGTACTAGTGGACATACCCACTTAATAAAAATAAAAATAAAAAATAAAACTAAGTCCTCTCCTAAAGAAAGTAAGAACAACATCACACCCAACTACACTTTACGAGCCGACGTAGCTTCGGTATTTCGGTCATCCGCCTCCGCATCCGAGGCTATTTTAGTACACGCGACATCTATATCCTCTCTCTCATCGGGAATGTCCTCCTCCATACCTCGAATAATCTTCTCGTCAATCCCACCAACCTTGCGTAAGTACTGACGACACATCCTAATCAATGGAGCATAAACCACAGCTATCGCTAGTTCTTCGATCATCGCTCAACATATATCACTCTTCTAAAAGCGACGTTCCCCTTCTAACATAACCGACTCCTTGTAGGCGGCTCCAGCTGATGAAGCCATAAACCTCTTCCCCGTAAACTTCTCGGTATCATATTTCTACCTCAGCTCGTCATAGCACCGATCTAGTTTTGTTAGTTCAATTTTACTTGCCTCGGTCTCGCTCTTACTAATATCCAACTCATTTGTCCTCTGAATGAGCATAGTCTGGGCCACCTCGAGTTTGGATTCCGCTACCTCTAATTGAGCCTTTAGTAAACTTCTCGGCATCATATTTCTACCTCAGCTCGTCATAGCACCGATCTAGTTTTGTTAGTTCAATTTTACTTGCCTCGGTCTCGCTCTTACTAATATCCAACTCATTTCTCCTCTGAATGAGCATAGTCTGGGCCACCTCGAGTTTGGATTCCGCTACCTTTAATTGAGCCTTTAACTCTTTGTCTCTTGCTTCCCAGCCAACACGCTCCTCTTTATTGGTCTTTTCGACTTGCTCCTCCTGCTCCACGAGATACCTCCATGTAGCTATGAGCTATATTAAAATATAGACAAATAATATTAGATTATCGAGAATTATGATTTAAAACGAAATACATATTAACTTGAAACAAATATTTACCCGACACATGTCTCCTCTGGCCAACTAAAGCATATGAGCACGACCTTTACCCGATATCCGACTTCGGTTGTACTCCACAACGAAATCCTCGGTCTTCTTCAGTGCGATAGTATGATCGGTCGTATCCCAAAAGGAATCCTTCCCTCTCGGTTCACCCTGTAAGTGGACAGGCATTTGCCTGCCCCCCCCCCCCCCCCTTGGAGGCCCATGAGAAACCTCAGGATCCACTCGAGGCCGTTTCGGTGCAGGCACACACTCGATCTCAACCACCTTATCCTTCCCATTATTAACCACGCGATCCAGCACATCCCCCTCAACACTATGATTACGATCATCTCCACTCACATGAGGGGCCTCCACGCGGGCCACTTCGCACGATTTGCTACTACTTGATTTCGCTTGCTTCAAGGGGTCCCTCCTCGCTTGTTTTTTCGCACCTCCAGTAGCCTTAGCCCAAAGGGCCGAAAATCAATGCACCCATCTATAAGAAAAAAAAAATACACAACTCTTTACTAACAGGTGGATAAAAAAGCATAGCAGAGACAAGACAAAATAAGGCACATATACATAAATAAATCGCGTAGAATACACGGAAAGATATAGGCGTCTGACCCTTCGGAATCATATAACTCGGATCGAACTCCAAATCACACAACCTCAACTCCCTAATCCGTTTCTTCATATTCTTCATTATCTTGAAAGTTTCGCATACCAGATTCCAAACAAGGGGAACATCGAATGTCGGAACCCTCACATAGAAAAATAAAGTACTCCATTTCTCCCAATTCAATTTAATCACCTTCAAAAATTTGTAAGGAACCCGAGGATGTGTGCTGAAGAAGGGTAAACTACTGGCACGATGTAGTGTAAACAACGTCTTGAACATTCCGACAGTACTCGGTAATCCTACTTGGCTCATTCTTTGTCGACACGCCTCAAACGTGAGAATCACGTTCGGAGTTAATTGACTATACCCTACCTGAAATTCCTCTTATATCTTCAAAAGGGTCGAGTCAGGCACAATGCGAGGTACATGTCAAATAGGCGACATATTGGGTGTGGAACCCGTCAGGGGGTGCATACAATCATTCACCTTTTTTATGCTAGAGCATCTCAATATTCTTCGGAGCTCCAACTAGCTGACGAAGAACCTGGAATTGCGATTCGGTTAACAAAGTATCAAAATCCACCAAGTCAAGATTTATTGGTTTTATTTTCTTCCCTCTATTTTTGTCTACAATGACATCTTCGCATGGAATGCAATCCTCATCTCCCACATCTCCATCCGGATTTACATCACTCTCGGATTCCTCAGACTAATTAGACGAACTCGACGTAAGTGATTCTTCACTATCACTCCCAAGAACAAATTGGAGCCGGTTTAGATCTATTTTGTGCCGCCGACTTCCAAACGACCCCGTTTCGGAGTTCGAGTGCTGGTCGGAGGTAAATTCGACGATGCTATTTCGGGGTAGAAATCGAGATTGATGTTTTCATGACGAAGACGTCGGAGATGGTGTGAAGCTGATTGAGTGAACTTTTTTGTTTATTTTGGAGAAGATAGTTTTTTTGAAAAGGTTAAGGATTGAATTGATTTTTTTTGAAAACTTCATTTTGGGGCGGGGCATATTGATTTTTGGTGTGAATTTGTAATTTTTGAAATTTATAATTTAAAGGGCATTTTGGTCCTTTTCGGGTCAAAAATATGCCCACAGTCGCACAATCCGCGTGTGGAGCACACGATAAGCTGGCAGGGCCCTTATTGCCTTTGACTAATTTTTATAGGGGGTTATTGCTATTTTTTTTAACACGAGGATTTTTTCAGCAATTTTAGATTAAATAGTTGTGGATTTTGCAAAAAAACTTAATATTTATTCTATCTTGTTGTAGTTTAGGAGGAGGACCACATATATGTAAAAAAATAAAATTTAAAAAGATTATTTGCAAATTTCGGTAGAATTTAGGAAATATTTAGAAACAAATAATGAAAATAAAACCTTGCTTATCTTATATATAAAAGAAAGAAAAAATGGGCAACCCTAAACAACCCTAATAATATTTCTGTAATCTTATATATAAAAGAAAGAAACGATGGGCAACCCTAAACAACCCTAATAATATTTCTGTAATTAATTATTTTTAATATTTTTTCTGTACTAATTTCTAATTATAATTTTCAACAATTATCAATTTCTTATTTTTCATCAATATATCTCAAATCTTAACAGATAAATATAGAAATTCGATTTGTTAAATCTTAATATGTAACATTTATATACTGCATTATTAAATTTTACTATGTTAGTGTAATATATTTTTCTTATTATATATTAAACTGATTATTTTTTTTCACTTTTGAAATAATATCCCGTGCATCGCACGGGGAAAAAATGCTAGTATATATAAAAAAATAAAACATTAAAGGATTTGCATTTAGATGATGATGATTGGTTGATGGATACTTAAGAGTATGATTTATCTTCTACCTGACTACTTATATATACAATTATATTTTTAGATAATTGCAAAAAATGAATAAAACGTAACTTATCAGAATTGATGGTGGTTTAATTTGCCGCTAAAATATATACACTATCTATATATAAACAAGGTTCAATTTCCAATAACGAAACACACATCTCGCTCATTAGTATTTATTCTATCATGTTATAGTTTATGAGAATAACAAAAAATCATTTATATTTTTTTAAATTCCCAATTTATATTTTGGATCAAAACATATGTATTTAATCCCTTGAAATTGCGATGTACAATCCGAAATCATTTGCGAAATTTA